TGTTTCCAGGCAGCCATGTGTGTACATATATTTAGAGAACATTCATTTGGTCTCTTAAAAGATCAATTTGGCTTGTCAACGGTGGGACTGGCAAGGGAAGAAATGGTAAGGGTTTCTTTTCCTCCTCGCCACCCACCAAGAGTGTGTTATGCGATTATTTAAACGGCTCAGCAGCTTTGAGGCCAAAAGACTGCAACAGCAGTGAAAGGCTTTCACTCATGTGCCAGTTTTCTAAACGATCACTCATATTTAAGTATCTATTTGGAGCAGAGGGAAGCGCTTCCTAAATCCACCTGTCCTCATTTTTCTTTAAAGAGATGACAATGCGAATGAAAGTCTTCCAAATATATTAAATCTTCTGAAATGTGGGTTCTGTTGAAAGTGGGAGTAGGTTGAGAAGAGGGTAGGTATGGGGTAGGAACATATTCAGCAAGTGTGTATGTGTTAGTGTGTGTGTGGTGGGGGTGGGGTGTTGCTTTTTAATTTTCTATTTCCAAGAGGAAAGTAAGAAAACACATTCAAAGGTGTGCGGAAGTACCCTTCTTCCCTGTCATGTGTCACCCAGAAAAATGTCAAACCCACGGTCTCTAAGGTGGAGCATCTGCCCAGTGAGGTATTAATACCTTAGAAAATGGCATTCATAAGGCCACTAATGAGTGAATCAAGTTCCCCATTCAATTTATTTTGAAGCCTTCCATCCCCAAACCTGGGCCTTTAGCGAGGATAAGGGAGATTTGTCATTCTTACTGGAAACTTACACCCTGTCTACAGGTAAATCACTAGCCACTGAGGGGCCCAGGAGGGATGCGTGGCTTATCATGGCATGGGAAACACTACCTCCCAGTACCCGGGAATGAGAAAGAGAGCTCAGTGGGCCTGGATGAAGGAATCTGGCACATTCTTTTCTCAACCTACACTCAGGCCGTACCAAACCCTCCGACCTTTGGATGATTCTGCCTTCCGCAGCTGCACCATATAGAGACGTCAACCTAGGTAATGCAGTCCAACCTAGGGTGCTATGTCTTTTGGTTCCTTAAGTTGTGCAATTAACCTTTGTGAGTTACACAAGTTAGTTGTCTCCGTAGAGTTCTTTGCAAAACAGGTAAACCAGCCTCAGAAACTGTCAGTGATCATCATCTTCTTTTCCTGCCACAGTTGTGAGGAAAACAACAAAAGCGATAAAATCCAACTCATATGCCCCTAAAGTCACAAGTATCAGTATGATTTAAAAACTGGGAAGGAATCCCAAACTTCCTTTCTCTGCCCATAAAATTTTTTTTGGAAGCTCTTCAAAGTGAAGCGAGAATGAAGCATAGAAATATATACCATCACACCTGGAAAGACAAATTTATTGTTGCCAATCTCATTAAATGTGAGGAGCAGGAATGAAGGAAACAGCCCATAATTACACACCCCTCTCCTGCGTGCCTCACACACTCACGCGCAGAAGCAAGATGCCCCACCTGGTGTGATATGGCCAAGTTTCCGCCCTTTAGCACAAACTGAAAGTGCATTTCGTATTTTTCCCCTTTGGTGTCTTCTTCCACATCCCTTGGGTCTTCTCAAACGCTCACCATCCTAAGTCTGCACACCGTGCCAAGAATTCTGGCAATTGTGTAAACTGATACAAAAGGCAGAACAAGCTCTCCTGCCACTTAGAAGGTCCTGACTCATAAAGGCCAGGAAATGCAGGGTCTAGGAGAGGAGAGCGAGGCAAGCCACTCCCTCTTTGCTGCTGATAAACCTTCCCCATCTGCTTTATTTTCCTGTAGGCCAGGGGTCAGCAGCCTCTCTAGCCTTGAGAGCCATCAGCAACAGGGGCTGGAAGGGGGTGGTGCTAAGCAGCGACAGAGGTGCCACTAGCAAGCTTATGACAGAGGCAGAGATGGAGTAGAAGGCTGAGAGAAGACAAGGGGTAGAGAAGAGAAAGAAGGAACAAAGTAGTAGTGAAGAGACGTCAAACTCCCTTCTCTCTCCCTGGCTCGATCTACCTCTGCCCAGTTAGAATAATCTAACTTGAAGAATAGTAAAGCTTTGGGCAAACTGAAGTTTTTCTTGTTATTATATAGGTATCACTGTCATTACTATTACTCGCATTAAATAAGCCCTATTTTGGTAAAACACTTAGAAGAGTGCCTAGAACATTAGTAAACAGTTAATAAATGTTAACTATTTTATTATTGCTCCCAACAACTGATTGAGAAATCTGGGAATACAATCAATAAGACATTTTATTGTTTGACCAGCTACTACTAAGCTGGGTGACACAATTCCTTGGAATCGAGTGGATCTTGGGGCATCGAGTAGACGTAGCTTCAAAGTCCCTCTACCATGTTTTAGCTCTGTTTAAAAATGTTAAAAAGAAATAAAGTGTACAGTTCTCCATTTTGCCATCCTCTTCACTTGCTAATACTTAAACTATAGGTTCATTTTACTCGACATTAAGAGGAGAAACTTAAATACAAAAGTAAAGCCGTGCACACAGTATCAGTGGAGGTATTCAGCTGAAGGTGCCGGATCTACTTTTGGCTCTCAGCCACGGCCCACACGAGCAAAGCTACCACGATAAGAACGGTGGCTTTTTAAGCATCTCACTTAAGCAGTGACCTGCATGCACAAAGGCACGGAAAAGAAGGGCTCACCTTATCTGAAACTTTTGTCAGTAAATGAGCCAGACAGAGAGGCTAAATGAAAAACAATTTCGTGATATTAGGATTATGTGTGATGGTGGGTACGCGTGTGTACATATGGATGTGTGAGTGTGTGAGTAGAAGGGGCAGGGCTCACTGCATGGTCCTACTTTCTTCCCTCCTTTTCACTGAAGGAGGAATCAGATCCAGAATAGTCCAATAACTGTCCGAAGTCACATGAGAAGTGACAAAATTCCTGCCCGGGCCCCATACTCCTTGCAGTGAAGCAGTCTTAAAATAGACACTGCAGATAAAGGAGAGGTGGCCTGGCTGGAAGTGGATATGATTCACAAAGAGAGAAATATTAGATGTTAATCATATTAAAGAGGATTTAGATGATGCTAAATGGAGCAGCTTGTCGGGTACCTCCTGATGCCAGCCGTCCCCTGTTTGTGTCCTTTTGGCCCCTGGGCTGTGGGTAGGGGATTAAATTCCAACCAGGTAAGGTTTAAGCAACCCTGAAAACCCTCGTGTGCACTTTAAGGATTTGTCTTCTTGGGTATTTTATATAGCAGAAATGCAGAAGTCATCTCATGAATCTTGGGCAATTCTTTCATGAAGCTTGATGTATGCTGCCAAACAGATACTTATGTCATCATATAATGTAAATAATTCACTAGCATACAGAAGTCTCTTAGCTTAACGTTTAGGGCAACAGGCTTATCAGAAGGGCAGGGGAGAAAAGACGCTCTTAATAAGATTTTTTAAAAATGGTTAGCCATAATCATATTCTTCAGCTTTAGAAGAAATCTGCTAGTGCTCTGTGATTATAGTGAGCCAGTGCTCTGTTACAACTGAGACTTTAAAACAGATTTTAAAATAGTGGAGCAGTACATGAAGAATTCTCACTTTTAATGTATTTAGCAAACACACACTCATACCACCCAAACTTCATTTATCACACATTTGGCAAGAAATACATTAGTCTTAGAGAGCAAAGACAAATTAGTAGCTTACACTATAACTACTAAAACTTTCAAAGAAAAACTATGACTTTCCCATTGCTGAGCTTCCACATTCAGTTCTTTATAAGCCACTATAACTGGTCTGCATTGCCAAGAATCGTAGTAACAAGAGCTGAAATAAAGGGGGGGGGGCAAGCAGAAAGAGTACTAGGAGTCAGTCCCCTTAGTTGACAGAGCTAGGCCAAGATATCCTCTTTTCTTTGAAATTTGGAACTTCCTGGGTATTCCTGGATACCTATCTACATGAAGAAAGCAAGAATACGAACATAAGGTCCAAGCGCACACAGATGTTGGAGGAAAAATTCCTACCCTTAAGGTGGCACAGCATCTAGCCAAGATAATACAAGAAATGGACCAACTTTGTCAAGCCACAGTCTATCTGATCTCATCATCAGGGAGTTCAGCCTGCAGAATTCTTGCCATATTCCCACCTCCAACTACTGTTGCCTCAGCCAGCAGGGCTCAGCAAAATGCCTTTGTGAGTACTGGGAGATTTGCTAGTGTTGTCTCACAGAGAGTCATCATGTTGTGATGAAAACTGTTTGCTGAGGCACCACATTAGTCCATAAAGAAATGCCTTACTCATAGCCACACATCTTTCATTGTTGCATGGATATTGCTTTCTGGGAATTCTCTATGCTGCTTTGTGTGTGGATCTAGAATATACATGTCATAGATAAGTGTGTATGAAAGTGTTTGTACAAAGAGCAGCATGCTTCTGAAGGTATACTTAGGCAAAATAAACACATGAGTCTCTCCTCCAAAAGAAGAAAAAGAGAAACAAAAATCCCCCAAAAAAAGATGTCAGTGGATCTCTTATGATATGTATTTAGTAAATTATCATACCATTTCCTCCAAAAAGGGAATACATGTCAAAGTCAGAAACCATGGAATCACTCCCCCATCAAAGTTTCTAGACTTTTTAAGAAAACAACACTGGTAGCTACCATTGCACATAGCCTGCATCAGCTCATTGACATCTCAGAACCTAAATATGAAAAAGGCCTATTGGAGTAGGGACCTCTTCCTTGGAAAATGAATCACTCTGTTTTTGCTGCTTGCTGCCATTTTCCTTTGGATTCTAACAGTTCCCTTTTCTGTGGCCAAATGAGTCTTCCATACAAGCTGAAAAGCCAGGGAATGGGGAAAAAATGGCAGTGGGTCAGAGCCTCATGATTCCAGTGGGGACTATGGAAGCTCCTCATTGCAGTTCTACCTGTTACTCTATTGGGGGATGCTTATATGCGAAACCAACACAAAAACAGATTTGTGTACATTTCTAAAGAAAATAAATTTTTTAAAAAAAGAAAAGGGAGATGACCAAAAATTAAAGATTAGTTCCTACCTCAAAGTCATTTGCTTTATTGTAGTGCATGTTCAGAGCCCTGTACAGCTCACAGTCTCTGGTTATAGACAGCTCTTCAGTACTGGTGACCCCATCGTTGATGGCTTGACGCGCGTACTTCTCCATCTGAATGTAGTAAAACTCACGGAAATTGCTAAACCACTTGATGAGCTGAGAGGTAATGCATCTGTTGAACTGTTAAATTTAAATGTTGAAAAGGATAAGAACATTGCCATTTTCTTCATTTATTTTTTTAAGTGTCTGAAGCATTTTTAATGTTCCCATCCCTTCTTTACTTGGAAAGATACGTATTTAACTCCACCAAAATGGTGGCAAGAGAGGCAAGAGGAGGAATATACTTACAAGAAATTGTAAAAACCTGTCAGTAATGGAAATCATATCACAACCCTCTACCTTTCAAGTGGAAAAGTCACATTCTAAATCAGACTTTCCTTAAGCTGATCATCTTTATTTTTAACCCTTGTTCTTCACCTTTCAGTAGAACAACTTGCATTTCTATACTTCTTACGGACATTCATTGAAGTCATAGAATCCTGGAAGTGTTACTCCCAAGTACCAGGGGTGATGTGCCACATGACTCTACTACTAGTTTGATATACTTTTTTTTTAAAGTGAGGGTTTGTATCACCACAGTACAACCCCCTTCAATGCAGACAAATGGCCTTCCCACAAAATGGGAGGAGTTGGAATTTGCTTATTTATTTATATATTTTTTTTGTCAATGAGTGATTCCCATGTCCATCCAACTATGACTCCACTTGATGTTTGCCCATGGCATTCATGTCTGGTGAGGTCTAGTCAGCTCCTGGTGCCTGTTCACCTGCTTCCTGCAGCCAGCATTGGATAAGACCCATGTCCCCCTCCCTTGGTATCTCTGCCATTTGGGAGGCATGGTTAGGACACAGTACACAGATGGCATAGACGGGACCTTTATTACATTTTTTTTAAATGCCAAGTTACTATAACATGGTTAGGCCTTAAAACTTTGTTTACCAAGGTTTCCTGATGACCTTTGAAACGAAGATGTCTTCCTGGATGCACTGCAAATGATACCATCCTTATTGACAGTCCTCTGCTCACATAAAGGACAGATGCGTCTCAACTTGCCAAGTCAAAACCAATAAATTCATAGCTCTATATCAGGCGGGCTGACAGACAACCCCCTGCCTTTTGTCATCACAGGCATCCCCTTCCCTGGGCCCCCAGAAAAAGATGTACATTCATCAAAAATCAACAAAGAGCACTTATCAAACACTGGCCATGAGAACATCCAGACTCCAACAAGATGACAGCTAAAGTGTGTATTGGGGCTCTAATTACTACACAGAAAGTTGTTTCTATACTAGCAAAGATAATAAATGAATGAAAATTTATGGCAGAGAATGGAAGTCACAAGGAAACAGAAGCAGAGAGACTGGTGTTTCTCCCAAAAGGCCAACTTGCATCATAATTGCCATGGAGTTGCAAGGGCCCTTACAGATAATTGACCAGAAAATGATTAAGTCATCAGCAAATCGCTTCTGCTTGCAAGAGTTCAAACATGTACTTAACCTATCCAAGAATTATATTTTCACTCTGTGTGTCTGCTCTGTCTCTATTCAGCCTCGCGGGGAACCCGATTAAAAAGACAACTGAAGGACCCCCATTATCTGATCTTCTGGTTGCCGATTTCAATAGAACTTAAACCCATTACGATTTGCTGAACTTGGAGTTCTTTCCATTTTATCTCAGCAGTAAAATACACTGTCCAAATTTCCAGACACTGAGATAAGGACTACAGGCCCCCGTGACGGCTTACTGTTCCTTTTTAATTCTTTTAGAATAAGAAACAAAACATTACAAAATGATAGCAGGCTGTGCACTGGGGAATGAAAATTGCTTTGACATGGAGATTAGGCTTCTGCATTGTTACAAGACATTGTCTCATATGGACAAGAGTACTGTAGAGGAAAAAAATAGAAGGGTATTTTTTTTTTTTTCTAGAATGGTCATGAATGACCTAATGGGGAGGACAAAAAAGTAAGTGCACTTGCCATTATTTACGAATGGGACATAAAGGGAGATTTAAAGCTTATTGTTGGAGAATGGAAATACCAGAGAGAAAGAATGGACAAAAACAACAGACTCCCCAAACATAAGACAAGCGAAATGACCAGCACAACAGCCTAAGGAACAGGGTTTCCCTCCACAAGAAGTGAACTAAAATTTGTTCAGTTTTAGTTGCCGGCTAAAAGCAAAAGCAAGCCCCTCTTTTCTAGATATTCACACTGGAGGAGAAAAAGTATTAAACTTTAAAGAGTTAATTGTAGTGGCTTACAAGAAAAGGATCAATTGTTCTATAAAGGAAAGCTCTGTAGTGTGTTAATGTGTTACTGCAAAAACTAATCGCTACAATAAAGAGGCTGTGTTTCCACAGTGTACGAGTCTCTGCGACTTTGATTAATGCTTCCCACGGGACATCTCAGCCTCAATATGGGCTGAAGAAACTTCCTAAATATTCAATGAGCATGGTCAAAAGATGTATAAAACAAATCAATCTGACACCTTAATCTGGCTAGGCAGCAGTTGACTCAAGGGGTGGAGGGAATGAGATACATCATTTAACACTGCCGGCTTGAAAAGCTGTGAGCGTCTGTTCTTCAAAGCTAAAATGACACTGAATCTGTTGTACTTAGTGGTCTAAGAGTTATTAGTTTGTACGTTAAAATCAGCACCCAGTAGTGAACGGGGAGCTGGTGCGGCCCATCGATCCCTGGCAGCTCTCTCACATTTGTCCACTTGTCCTTCTCAAAGGATTTGTAGCCCCGATGAGCTGAGCTTTTTGTTTGGCTAAATGTCATTATGAGGGAATTAAGTTGACTCTCTGTGAGAACATAGAACTTTGTTTAGATTCTTACTCTAGGAGTTAAACTAGGTCGACCCTGGTTTCATCCTTCATATACATCACCCCTGTAGAAGAAGAACTCTCGCCATGCCAGCATCTCTGAATTGTATGATTTCCCTGTACCTCTTTCGTTCCAAGGTAATTGAAAAGCATTTACCTCTTACCCAAGTGGAAGTCATTTGTGGAGAGTTAAGCACTGTATCCATTGCTAAGGAGAAATACGAAGGAGTGGGCACCACTTTGGCCTGACTCACCTTCTACAGCAAGTCAGAGGATTTACCCCATCTAGCTCTATCATCCAGGTGTGGCTTTGATGGACAATTATGTTATACTGTGTTCAGGAAACAAGATATGTTCTGCTAATGTTTTTTCTCCTGTTTTTTTTTGTTTTTTGTTTTTTGTTTTTTTTGCTTGCAAAATTAACTTATGATCACTAAATAAAATTTGAGGGTTGAGCACGGTGGCTCATGTCTGTAATCCCAGCACTTTGGGAGACCAAGGCAGGCATATCATTTGAGGTCAGGAGTTCGAGACAAGCCTGGCCAACATGGTGCAACCCCATCTCTACTAAAAAAATACAAAAATTAGCCAGGCACAGTGGCATGCGCCTGTAATCCCAGCTTCTTGGGAGGCTGAGGCGGGAGAATCGCTTGAACCCAGGAGGCGGAGGTTGCAGTGAGCTGAGATTGCACCATTGCACTCCAGCCTGGGTGACAAGAGTGAAATTCCGTCTCAAAAAAAAAAAAAAAAATTGAATAAAATAATTATATTATTTGAAAGAGTACATTTTACTAAAGTTAGGAATTTTCTCCTAGATGAATGTGGTCATGACCAAGTAGAGACTCGTGTCATTATAATAAGCATTACGTGGTCCATAGATACATGCATATGTCTTGTCCAGATAAATGATGCAGGGTTTCATTTCTGAGAAGATCCTAAGTTCTCTTCCCCAATTTCTCTAGTGATTTCTTGAATCCTGGCCAAAATAAAGATTTGGATTGCGTATTCATATATAAGGAAATATCTATTTCTTTCAGCCTTGCAAATAGACATACTTGTCTATCTGTATATCAATGTCTAGCTATAGATATGTGTATATGTGTATTGTGAATTCATGCACATGCACATATGTGTGTGTATACATTGTCAATATTCAAATTAGTGATTATCCTTAATATTGAAGAAATCCCAGAATGCTCTGCCATTGTTTTCTGGAAAGTCTCTGGACCACGTTGCCTGGACTACCTTTCCCTTTCTATGCATGACTTTCTACTCTCACCAGTGTAACCTCAAGGAATACAAATTCATTTATTACTAACCAAAGAAAAAACATAATTAGGAAAGTTAAAAATGTATAATTCCTTCCAAAAATAAAAGGGAAGTGACCTTCAGTGATTTTCTGCTTTGCCTGATATGTCCTACTATTTCCCCTCCATTAGAGTCGATGATTGGTATGTAACCAGACTCACATATACTTTAACAGCCTTCTCTTCCAGTATGGATAAGGTATGAATAGAATCAACAATCTGAATATTAGTGCTTTTGAAAATAAAATATTCGCCCAGGTATTCTGTTGCTATCTACACAGAGTCAGTGGTCATTTGCAAAGCTGAATTGCTAGGGGCATTCTAGAGGAATGGGAACAGTTTCTTGTTGGTTTGTATTGCATGGTATTTATAAAGCTACAGATCAATAATCTTCCCCACTTTTCTTGCCACCATATACCACACACATGCCCATATGCATGAACTCTCAAAAAAGTGAATGTTTCTAATATTGACATCTACTGTTGGGTAGTGTTGTTGGCTCAGAATGGCTACTGTTTCCCACCCTCCGGGTGGCTGTGTTTCCATGGTGGGTGAGTGATACCTATGTGTGCAGTTGGTAAAGCTCTTTGGCCTCCTTCTGGGTGAAAAGTGCTATACAAAGAATACAAGGCATTGTCATTATTATTTCACAACACTGCAGATCATTGCCCTAAAAGGAATGAGTAACATGGACATCTGCACACACAGACACATACACACATATATGTGCACACAATAACCCTTTTCTCCCTGTCCTCCATATCCCCTCTTAGAACTACAATGTTGGGAGGATTCCCTGGAAGACAAAATTTACCAGGTTCTGCCAGACTCTAGAAGCTGGTCAGTCCTCAACCAGGTGACAAATTGCCTTCAATTTGTATACTCTAGATTGTCCTCCACAAAGTCCAAACCCTTTTCCTGGCCTCTGTGTCACTCAGCCTGGTTTGTGCTTACTTAGTCTTAACCAGACATTTACACGATGGACTTTCCCTGCCTCCCCATCTTGCCCAGTTTTTGGCGCCGAATGAGGAGAAAACAGGCCTTCCACTTAAGGAGCACAGCCAGGGAAGGAGAAAGATAAAAGGCTGAAGTTGATACACAATTCAAAAGCAAACAGGAGGGAAAACAGAACTTTTCTTATAAGGCCAAATAAAACATCAGTGAAGGAAACTGAAATGAGTTGGCCTGCAAAATGGGGCCAATGAAGCCACTTGGGCATCAAGCAGAAAATGAGCTGCGCGCAGGGAGCGGTGGAAGAGCAAGCGTGTTTTGGCAGCTTGTGAGTTCTCCATGGCAGAAAGAAGAACTTGTACATATGGGGGTGGGCAGAGGAGGGGTGGGGAAAAACACCCACCCCTAATAAACTAATCTCAGCTAATGTAGTGTTTATCAAGTTCCTGGGATAATGATACCATGTGTGTCATTATCATCATCAAAACCCAATCTATGTTTTAAAAAGTTACAGATGATTAACACAACATCAAGTTGATGCAAACAATTACTTAAAACCCACACACAGACACAGACACACATACGCACACACACACATGCATACACACACAGAGAACCAGGAGGTCCCAATATTCTGTAGAATGAGGGAGGCTGCAGCTGTAGGCCGACAGCTTTCATATCCTCATTTGAATAATGTGTCCTGAATCTGTCACTTTATTCATTCTCCTTATGCTCAGTGTACTCTACATCAACAACAAATTAAGTTGTAAATAAGAGACAATCATCACTTTTGTTTTTAAGCAGCTACTGCATAGAGAATTTCAATGTACGCTCCTTTTCGACAGGGGGAAAAAGAGGTGCTAGAGTTTGCTTTCATAAGCACAAATATGGGGAAACCAACAGAAACAAAAACAGAAACAGTTTACTGTTGCTGAGGGGAGGGAAAAACATTCTCTAAAGCACATCCATCCATTACCAGCTGAAATTTCTTCAAAGAAGCTACTCAAACATATAAAGACAGAGGCTAAGTTTTTCAGACTACATTGGAAACCCCTGCAACTTATTAACACCAGTCTTTCAGTCTCAATACACAAGTGGCATCTTTGCTTAACACACCTTTAGACAAAAGGACAAGTGCATTAAATCAATTATAACACAGGTGTAGGAATAAACCAATTCCACATTTGTCTCCATTAACTTCCGGGAGTTCAAATTACTGCCACATGCATAGAAAATTAAACAATTAAGAATAAAAAAAGTCCCTACCTTTACATCGGAGAAGTAGGTCTTCAGCATATTGGAGCTGGGATAACGGGTATAAAAAAACATGAGCTTTGCTTTTTTCAGGTGATTGGGTGACAATCCTTCCTGCATGTAGGAAGCAATTGGTTAAGGAAAAGAACTTCTGTAAGCACAAGGACTCCCACCTCCCTCCCTCCCTCCAGTCCCCACCTCCATAGAGTCTGGAGGTCCACCAAGCTGCCGTGGGAGTGCTGGAAGGTATATGACACTGGCTATGGATCTATTGCTAACTTGCTGCCGTTTGTTCAGTGACCGTCGCCTGTCAGAGGTTGCCACATGCAATGATGAGGTGTACAATTGAGTTGCAGAATCTTGGCTACTTTAGGGGGAAGATGGCAAAGTATTTTCCTTGCTTTAGGTTGGTAGGCTATCTATACATTCACTTGTTGCTAAGGAGACAAATGCACCCAACATGTACTGCACAACTCTTGTCATAAGAGGTTTTTTTTTCTTCCTTGCAATTACAGTTCTGTTTGTTCTTTTCTCCACACTCTGCAGTTTAGAGCAAATTATTCTACTAATGTACATGAAAATATAAAATGCATTATTTTGAACACTGTTATGCAAGTTTCACATTTTACCTTTCAGTGTTAATCTAATGGAGCATCTTGACTCACTTGCTTTTTATCTTATTATATCCTTTTAATTGCTTCCTTTTAAATAATAGCTAAAACTTGGGAAGAGTAGTTTTGGCATGGAGAGGACAGGGAGGGGGCTGCTGCTTTTGTGAAAGCAACAGTCCAAAACCAAATACAATTTGCCTGTCTTGGATTTATAGTTAACTCCTTTGAGAATGACGCAGTAGTTGGGGCTAACAAATCAATACATGTGGGTTAGCAGATCAATAAATGGCCACTTACCCAAAATAAGAAGGCCTATTTATCTGGAAACATCATTACCTTTTAGATCTGTAAACAGCAGCAACTAAAACAGTTCCCAAGAGAATGTGAGGCTAACCATAACAATCCAGGCTTCCTGATTCTCCCCCAGATTCTTGGCACTCCTCAGCAGACTCAGAGCTGGGATGGCTCTGGTCACATCTGTGCCGCAGCCTGGCCCTGCCATTTCCTCAGCAAATTAATGGCTTTATAATTTATCAGAAATGAAGATGCACGTGGAGAAAATCAATGTGGTCCCCCACAAGGTCAATTAAGGGTCCTTCCTAGAAGCTTCTCTAAGGATTTTCTCTTAAAAGAGTGTCTGGGAAAAATAAGAAAACAAAAAAGAAAAAGTGTGCGTGTGTGCAAACACACACACACACATACAACTACCCAACAAAAATTTCACACCTGAGGCAAAAATGTCAAATAAACACAGATATTTAGGAAAGGTAAAGGTTTCCAAATGACCTTCATCAAGTCTAGCATGACTAATCTTAAGAATGGAGAGAAACCGGAAAGTTACTAGAGAAGCATAATCAAATTAATATGGATAAGCTCTTGACTACTTACAACAGGGTGTTTAACCAAATATTCTGCTGAGAATTTGTTCAATTAACATTCCCTTTAATATCCCATGCAATTTTAAAAAGATCACCTTGGTCTGTAAATAGAAAAGTTAAGTAGTGCAGGTTTTTTTCTTTCTTTCTTTTTTTGTTCAACTGAAAATAAACACTAAAGAAATAAATTTTGATTTTATATGTGTAAGCCAAAGCAGCTTAACTGAACTTGTGTTTTTGTTTGAGATTCTTAATGATTACAAAGACGATAATTTATGACTGACATACTTCTTGTGCCAAGGAGAGGGCTGAAAGGCCCTCCAGTAACCTCCATTAGACTGATACAGAAGACTAAAGGAGCCCAGCACACTTCAGGACCATCTGTCCAAATGGATAAGTGAAATAATAGTTGCAAGCTGTCTCCTACTGCCTTGTGATAAGAGTTTTAGGCAAGTCCAAACTTTGACAGACACTCTCAGATCTGGGTTCTAATCTTTTCTTTCAGATGGCTACATGAAGACAACATCATACATTTAATTATAAGTCGCAAATCTTTTAAAATTTGGTTTCATACAAAATACAAAGCGTTTTTCTGCGTTTCTTAGATGAACACTGAGCTACCAAAACTTCCTGAAGCTCTTAATACATCTAAATTATGCTAAGATGTTTTTGTTCTTTTTATTCAAAAACAGTAAAATATCCATTTTATTTTGATCAGTATTTAGAGCTTTTTATCTAATAAAAATTATTCCAATTTGGATTTCTCAAGTTCATTTTTGCTTTAAAATGTTTCCTGTTGGTAATACTTGGAACTGATCAGTTGAAATGGAACACAGAATTAATCTTTATCTCTTGCTTATTGTGTAATTAAGATAAAATTCCCATAAAATATATGTTTCTAATAAACTATTAAAAATAACTAATGAAACATTTAAAAGGCAACAGTTAGATAATCCTTTTTTTCTCCTCAAAATAAATCTGAACTGACCAATTGGTTAATTTCCCTTTTAAGTGCTTGTGCTGAAAAGCAACTGTTCTTCCAAGAAAGCACTAGCTGTTTCCAGGATACTTACACACGCACAATGACTCATGATGGAATAGATTCAGTAAACATACAGCTGTACTGAACACGAGCTAAGCTCCATTCAAGGCCAGGAAAGAAAATGAGCACAAATAAATATTAAGGAGGTAAAGGGGAGCGGGGTGAGGGGGGATGGAACGCAAACAAGATCTGTCCCAGCAGCTCATGTGGCTGTGCCTCAATTCTCTTAGCCATAGCTTTGTGAAGACAGATGACATTCAATTCTATGTGTAATGCAAAATAGACAATAACTGCTGAAACTTGAGACAGCTGCCAGGTGTAAAAAAAAAAAAAAAAAAAAAAAAAAAGAAAAAAAAAGAAAAGATGATAAATCCATAAATTAATGAAAGACATCTGCTCAGGAATATAAAAGATCAGAGAAGCAGGGTACTGCAGCTGAACCTAAAGCAGTGTTCAAACAACCTGAGAATCTAAGTGTTGTCTGTTTACCAAGTACAATATAACCTTACCTAAACAGCAGCCACGGGAGGAGCAGCGGAGGCAGCAAAAAGGCAAATGGGAGAATAATAGGCTGTGAAAGCAGAGGAAGAAAATTCTCTTTTTCCAACGAAACTCCGGATTGTAGCTAGAGATTGTATGTGCTGCAGTTCCAAGCAAATGGGTTGAGACTACTTACATTTTCCAAAACATTTGAAACCTAAGGAATTTTAGTTCTGCCTTATTCCCTAATTTGCTAAGTTTCTAAGCAGTTTTCCCCCTAGAAACTAAAATAGGGAGGAAAGATCTAAACTCTCTCACATAATGATAGTGATAGAGCAAATTGTTACTCCCACTAGGAAGTTCACCATAATCGGAGGGATGTGTAGTGTATGGAAATTTTTAAAAAATTTACTTACTTTAGAATTTTTTTTCAGGGGAGGTGGGCAGTTTAGGAGCCCATAGTCTTTTAGTCTTTAATCTACATGTTTCACTCTAGCTAATATAAGTACTATAGCCTCCACAAGACTTCTAAAAATGTATAAGATCAACTTCTGTGGATTGTTTCAAATTTCAGAAATTCATTTCTAATCTATGTTTCCTGGTTGAATTTTAATTTCAAATTACTAAACCATTTTCTTTTCTAAACTTCAAGTCTTTCTAGCATTCTCCCTAAAAGTTGAGTAGAAAAAGCCGGCTGTTTCAGAGAATAGGCTCAATTTCTTCACCTGCACATCTTAACGGCTTATACTACTCCTCTTGTGCTTTAATTGGGTGCATGCAAATGTTTGGGGCCAAAACAAGGCTATTTTTCTTGAGATGCAAAGAGGATGAATGACAAGGAACATCATGAAGAAAAGCAATTGGCTGACTGTTTCTTTTGGAATTTGAATAAAACTTAATATTTGATTAAACAGATTCATTTGCAAAGATGCTGAACATATTTTAAAAATCCAAGACATGAGCCCTTGGAGCAGGTGCACTGAAATTCAGTTTAACTTGCACACACATTCACTATTTCCCTTCTACTAGATGGGATAATGAGGTAGTGTGTTCTGTCCTATAGAATGTATATGCATAGAATGGGTTGATCTGATAAGCTGGTGTTCTTAATGGTTCTTATCTTGGCTACTTTGTTCAAAAAACAGATGGTACCTTTTGGAGTGGGAGAGAATTTTTCCTGAAGAATTAAATTATGTATAACAGTTTGGAAAGCCATGAACTAAAAATAAAACCCATAATAATAGCAATCACAGTGGTACCACTTCATTGCATTTCTGCTCATTTCTATTGATCTTTTCAAGGAATAACTGTACAACAGGTTCATATATGACCCTGTATCCCTAAAATTGAAGTAAAACATCACTCACTGTGATTCCCAGAGATTTCTTCAAAGTAAAAGCTTGAGAATGTTGCCTATGCACTATCAGTTAAATCAAGGGAAGAACACACCACCATACAGAGGTAGAGACAGGAGAAAAGTGGGCCCAATATCTATACAAACCAACAGATCCTCACTGGTTTCAGAATTGTGGGAACTATAGAAAAGGTTGTTTGCCTGTTTTACTCTTCCTAAGAAATAATATACCAATGAGATAAATGGTTAAAAGTGCAATGTATTAATAGTAGAGAGGGGAAAAAGAATAGGAACATAAAAGGCCAAAAGGTGGAAAATGTAATCACTAATTGCCACGAGAGGCTGACATTATTTAGCTATATGAAAGAAACAATTCTGGGTGTGAGCAGCTAACATTTCATATGAACACGGGTGTTTCCCAACAGAATCACCGCGCTCGACAGAAACTTATGTTGACAGGAGAAAGGAGAAGTCATTCTTCTGAAGAAGAAGCAACTATATTTTCTTTAAAGCCTTTGATACATATCAAAATAAAAGGAACGTCTTTCAATTCAAATCCTCAAAATTCCTCAGGGGATTTGGAGAGGTTGAGACAATGAACATAGCCAACACTTAAAGCATTCTAAAAGATTTTTTTCCTAGAAGACTAACCTTTAAAAAACATAAAGCACAGCCATAATTATAATGATCTGGTTATAATGAAAAGTCTAACTTAAAGAAAAACCATAAACTGGCATCTTGAACTAAAGAGCTTAGTGTAGACTTATAGGAGTTTTGAAACCTGGCGTTAAAACTTTAAATATTCACCAAAATTGGCATGCATGTCACTTTACTCTGTGTGCGTGTGTCTGTGAGAGAGAGAGAGAGAGAGAACCCACTATCACTACTACTTGGTTCAAAATGAAGTTAAGAGATCTCTGGGGTGCAATGGAGTCTTAGCCCTAGACATTAGCCTTACATGAACCTCTGAAGATGCTTTTTTTGCAAAGGGCACAAAAAAATTCCAGCCATTGTGTCTTCTTACTTTGCCTTTCTCATCACCAACAGCGATATTCCAATCATTTCGATCAATATTTACTGCCTGCTTATAATACATAAGGCATGGTGCTTGGTGCAGCTTTGATTCATGGCTGGTGGATTGAATTTCAGATTTTCAAAAGGTCAAAGTGAAATCAACAACTAAGCTAAAACTCCATTTCTATTTACATGGAGAAATCTCCCACATCTTTCTCTTCCCTTTCTGTTACAATGTTCTTCTCTTCTTGCTCAGTATAAGAGAGACTCCATGTTTAACTGCCCAAGCAGGTCTCATGATTGGGGCCCTAGTAGTTCACCCTATCAGAAATCTGCACTACTATCCTGGGAGCTGGCTTGAAGTATGACCTCCACTAACCAGGAAAACATATTTCCACCCATAGCTGGGACTTTGCACTTACGTGGCAGCCTCTGGAGTGGGCTTAGATGCGAAAATGTCAATCTCTAGTCATCAAGACAATTGCTCAAAGTCCTAAATTTAGTCACAGCCAACTTAATTGCTAAATTTTATATCCATCTGGTTATTTATTATATAAGAAACATGCCTCCACCTGCCCCCAAATGATACTATTCTACTACCCCCAAAAGACCAACGACAACAAGATTTTTAAAAATTTACAGAAAGAACCAATATACAGAGAGGAAAAAAAAAATCTTCAGTCAAAAATAGCTGGAGTTCAGGATAGGCCTAATAAAAAATATATAACTGTTATCTCTACATAAAAGTCAGTTTCAGAATTTAAAAGAATCATAAAAAGAGCCATTTTTAAGTCGAATACAGCTGAGTTATATATTTAATTGTGCTCTCTCGCTTTCCAAAATAATTTGCTTTGTGTATGTTGGGACAAAAGATTTCTGTGTATGGCTGAACAGAGGTTAATCATGCATAGAGGCAGCTGCACCAGACCCAAAGAACAGACCTTGGGTGAACGAGAGAGACAGACCAATGCTGTCTGAATAAATCAGTACCTGTATATTTCCTTTAAAAAAAAAGTCTCACTTAAAGATGAAAGAGAGACTCTAAGTCCCCACCCACATCCATTTTTCTTCCTCCTCAACCTCCCACTTACAAAGTGCTCTTCCTAAGATTTCATCAGGACATCCTTAAACGAATAGAAGCCTTGCAGATGGTTTACACTGAGAATTCTTCTTATGGGATCTTAGGGATCTGAAAACTGACTTTTCTCCCTATTGTGTTATAAAACTTACCACCTTTAAAAAATATCTGAAAGAATTCAATCAGTATTTACAAAGAGATTGTTTTCCCATCTCTGAATCTACTCTTTTTTTTTTTTTTAAAGAGAGGGATAAGAAGATAATACAGGAAGAATTGCAGAAAAAAAAACACTGCTGAGAAAGCACATATTAAATAGGAGCTCCTCCAGGCAGTGAACAACTTGTGGAAGCTGCAAAGATGTTGGTTTAGTTTTAAGCTTTTCTGCAATCAGGAATGCCATACGCATGCTGATAAAAGCCTATTCCTTTGAATAATACGAAAGGTTGCCTTCTTAAGAAGATACTAATCTACATTACTCTAGATATTCTGTAAACCTAACCTTTTGGGAAACCTTTTTTGGCTTGTTTTTCTCACGAGGGGAAAATAAAAGGATATTGCACTTCCCGAATAAGGTGAGATTTCAGACATATCTTGAAGATCGCCGCACTCGGACTTTATGAGCGACAAGGAGAGCCCTTCGGCGGTGCTGGGCGGGTGTGCTGGTGAACAAGGGTGGTGGCTCAGGTGGTGAGATGACATCTTGGTCCTCAGACTCGTGGTATCCCTAGTTAAGTCTAAGGATTCAGGAGAGGCTCTGTCTTTTCCAGAGAAGGAGCCGGAGGGAGCACCTAATGGGCTCTGAAATGGATAGGCCATCAAGGGAAGGGGGAAGGGGTGGCGGAAGGTGGACGTGGTGAAGCCTGTGGTGGCCGAGAGAGGCGACTGGTGCAGGGGCTGGTGGTGGCCGCCAGCGGCAGGGCCGGAGGCAGACTGGTCAGAGGAGTTTTTGCGGACAACCAGGGGCAGTGCTTCTGTCTGGTCAGTGGAACTGGCCATCTGCACATTGCCAAAGGTGTCCAGGGGGTTCGGAATGATGACGTCGCCAAAGCACTGCAGGCGCTGGTTGGCGGTGTGGAAATTGTGGTTTTCCCCATTGACTGCAAATCTGGCCTGGGGGATCTGGAGAGGTGGGAAGACCTGAGGAACCTGGCGGGAGGGCTTGGCCGAAAAGACTTTGACCACAGTGTCCACAACTTGAGACATGGCAGTGTTCAGTTCCTGTTTCAAGGTCTCAGCCAAATGTTTGCCTTCCGGTTGTAAGGAGTTTGGCCCATGGTCTCTTTCTTTGTTGTTGCCTTCTCGCTTCGGTTTGTTTTCAGCCATTTCCTGCTCTCTGATCAGGGCTCGAGCTCGATCAATAAACTGTCCTGGGTCTAGCTCACACATCTCATTATCTGACCTTCCGACAGAGTCCTGGGCCCTGGCATCCAGGATCTCCGAGCGCATGCTGTCTTCAGACAGGTTACCATCTTCATCATTTTCCGAATCAGTGCTGTCATAGATTTGGTAGAACTTTTCCTGCAGCTGGCGCAGCTGTTTCTGCATGTCCTCCAGCTGCTGTTTCAGCTGTCGGCGCTCCTCTCGCTTCTGTTCTTTTCGGGCTGAAACCAGCTGCTGGAAACTCTGTTGCTGCTGCTGGGGAAGCTTTTGCTTGCGTTTGTTTTCTCTGTAACTTTCTCGGGGACTCACAGACTGCGGGGCCATCTCTCTTTCATTTTCATTGCCCCTTAATGCCACACTGGGGGAATGGCTCATACCCCGAATTATATTCTCAACCCGGGCGCGCTTTGCTCTCAGGTGCTCATCACATAAGCGATCCATATCAAACTGGCTCATAGTAGGCCTGCCAAAAGGGGAAAGACACTCTGGGGGGCTGTCTCTTGAAGAGTTGCTGCATATATCCTCCTGATGTACTTCGGAGCCTGTACTAGAGAGACCGCTGGCTTGGAAACTGGGCTCCGTGCCACCATTTTTGTTCATGTTATTTTTCAACAGCTGGGAAATTATGGTTGCTCCTGGAAAAGGCATCATGGCATCTTCATACGAGTTCGCCCTCTTCAGCAGCTTGCGGAGTACATTTGACTTTTCCCCATCTGCATGCTGCACCACTGAATACTCAACATCCTGCTCAGAACCTTGGGGATTCATGGCACTAAAAAATGTTGCTCTTGCCTTAGCAAAAAATGCAGATGCTGTCCCTACCGTCCTTTTCACTCCAATGTCAACTCTTCTCCTCTTGGTTTGCCGGCTTAAGAGGGCTGTGCTGTCATGGTCAGGCATCACTGGACGGTTATTGTGCCATCTTCAAAAGCTCGTCAGCTGGGCACAGCTCAAGAATCCCGGGACCCTGGCCAACAGAACAAAAGGACTGATGAATCATTTTCTTTAAATTTCTCCAAATTTCCTGACCTCAATCCTGAATCAAATGCAAAATGCATAGGCTCTGGGATTTATGGCACATTACAATTATTGCAATTTATTATGCACTCTGCTTGAAATGAAACATTTTTAAATATTTCTGCTCCACTGGTTTAAGATGGATTAAGATTAAAAAAAAATAAAGCAAAAACTGCTTAAGCACCAGTAATATGATTCTCTTTCACAAATGCCTAAAATGATACTGTTTATCTTCAGAAGAAACAGTAGATTATAAGAACACAGCCTCTGACAACCAATTGATTAAATTTTGGGCATTGAGATTCGTATTATAAGGAAGATGAAAGTGCTCTATACTTAAGAAATACGGTTACATTTTGAGGCTGTGTGAAATTCACATGAAAAATTGCATTTCTGAACTACAATTATTGTGATTTCAATGCTATTAAAGGAAAAGGACTCTAAAATAAATGCAAATATTTAATAGACAGCTTTTATTCTTGAATTTTAAAATATTTTTGTCATACATAAAATGAGAAGGAGAACACCCTTATCAGCAGCATCTTTCAAACATAAATGGTCAGTTTAGCATTGAAATAAACACACAATAGTCATTTTACAAGTCTGCTTATTTAGCTTAGCTATGCATTTTTTACTTGTAAAATCATACATGAAACTGATATCTGTTGATATATCTTAATGTAACTATAAGAATATTTATACATTTTCATAATGTCCTTTTAATGACAAATTATTACAAAGTTAGATTCACTGCAAAACAAGGATGTTACCACATTTTAGAAATCAATATGAGGAATAATAAATTATTGACCTAGATAAAGATAAATGCATCTTCAGGACTAGTTTCCTTCTGTTTAAATCTGTCAAAATAATATGTCAAATGCCCAAAGAAACTCTTTAACATACAAGATTTGTGAATCTTATTTCCTGTGCCAAATTAAAGGAAAAAAAAAAAACACTGAAAGAAGATTTATAAAGAAGACAGAAAATAATGTCCCTCAAATGTATAAGAAAGAGTATATTTCTTTGTATATGAACTTCCATTGTTTCTTGGAAACACAATATAAAAAGAGAACATCCTTTTTGCATTTCATAAAAGGCACTTGACATATTGTGTAACTTATTAACTAGTGATGCTAATCCCAAATTTTGTAGACATATAAGATGTCATATCATTTTGTTTATAAATAACATTTTATGAAGAAAATGAAAATATTTTTTTCACATTGGGTTTATCTAATATTAAACTTCACGTTTGCTTAACAGAGCACATCTTCACAATAACAGGGTCCATTGCCAAAGGCAGCGTGCAGAGTGTCTGGAACGGCTCCCATCTCTTTCGGTTCACCTGTAAAAACATCTACGTGCTCCCTAGGACTGCATCTGTGGCTAGCTTTAAAGAATGACTATCCATGCAAATAGGCATAATTTCAGCATGAAATAACCTGTAAAATTCAAGAAAATGCTCAATGCTTAGATGGCAACAATATGTATATTTTTTTAAGCGACAGTGATTTCATCATGCAATCTTTGCTCCTGGTTTCTATAGAAAGACAAAACATTTTAAAAGAGCCTGCTTTAGGGCATCATGAAAGCAAAATGATACCTCTCTCTCTCTCTCTCTCTCTCTCTCTCTATATATATATATATATAGGTATGCTTGAGCATGAAATACTTTTTGCATGCTTCAGGATAAAATTTCCTGAACTTAGAATGGAGATGGAGTTCTCAATAACTTCAACATTGGGTTCAAAATTGAATTCAGAATGATTGAGACCCTTTCAAACACTAATAATAAAATTGGTTTCAGGAATACAAAAATGCAGTGACAAATACTACACAAACACATTAGATCTGATAAATTAGGTTAGCTGTCAGATGACAGAAAGAACAAGGAGAGGCTGAGATAAGAAAAAGGATGAATCATTTCAAAGCTCTGTTAATCACAGAAACACTTACATGGGGGGCGGTTACAAGGAAGACTTTTTTGTGTGTGTCTATCAGCTTCCCCAAAATAGAGCTTATTACCCTTATTTTAAAATTTTACATCTTTTCTATTTGCATGCAAATCCTTTTCTCTTGACTATCACCTGCAAAGCACATGGATCTCCAATCAACACATTGAACAAACTTTTTGCAGTATTTTTTCTCTCCCTGTTCACCTTAACACCCAAACTAGACTTTCTGCCTGCCATCCTTGCTATGGGAAGAGCACCTCTGCCACAGAGGCTTGGAAAGGACATACTGGTGTCGCTGATGAGCACAAGGTCATCCCCAGGCATCCTTCCTCTTCCAACTGCCATTTACCTCTGCGTCAACTGCACTTCCTCTCATCTAGCCTAGGTATCAACAGCTGCATCCCTGCCCCATGCTGGAGCCAAGAGGAGGGCTGTACTTTTCCTAAGGTGGAAAGAAATGCTTGCGGAGTCTGTTAAGAACAAGATACAACTCCCTTGATATTCACCAAACTAAACTAATTTATAATTCTATTTCAGTCAACATTTTTAGATTAAACAATGATTTGTATCTGTCTTGGGCTAAAAGAAGTTAAATACTTTTAGGTCTTGTTGTAAAATGTCCAGCTGAAACATAACAAATAGGACAAAACAAGTGGGAAAAATAAGATAAATTATATAATCCAGGGCAAGGCATTATATTAATAGGCACAAATAAATATATCTCTCCATATAGTTTAGACCTAAATTTAGAAATAAAAGTATAGTGGTAGCATACACTGGAACCATAACCCAAAGAGGCTATAGGCATGATTAAATAATAACAACCGGTTGACACAACACTTCATTACTGTCACATTTCATAAACAAGATATCTACATAAATATATTTACCACATAAGAAAATGTGCCATTGCATTACCATAATATAAATTAAATCTCTTAAAAACATTTTCCAAGCGCTTCCATGATATTCCAGTTCAGAATTTAAAGGAAGCCATGGAATGACTTTATCACTGATATTTTTAAAACTCCTTTATTTCTCAAGGTATGTATTAAGCCATCATGTTTCAACTGCAATTATTATTGATGCATATTATATTTGAATTTTAACATTAATTTTCAGTTTCACTAGGCAATATGAAGCTTTTGATCAGCACTGGTGGATGTCCAAATCAGCAAGGATGCAGAAAAATACTGATGAGAATTTGAACCCAAATGTATTATTGATCGGATACACTTACTCTATTCCTGTAAACCCCTCTTTAATTAATGCGAAAGTCTATATAGAGTTTTTCATCATTAAATATTTTGTTGCATCACTTGGCATATAACCTACACAAACGCTTTAGTAATTCTTACACAATGCATATCTTAACATAGCAGATTCTTCCCAGAAAAAGATATTATAAGAATAAACATCCAGGTATAATCAAAACAGGTTTTACCTACTCCAAAAGAGTCTTCTTTAATATCTGAATTATCTGACATTCTCTTTAACATGGAAAATTCTAAGGAAACTGATGACTTAAAGTTAGGAGGAAAGAATTTTCAGTAAAGAATTTCAAAGGAACACTGCAACGTGAAGTATAAAGTGATTAAGTGCTCTACTTTAATAAAGAAGTTATTTCGGGGAGGAAGATTCAACTTTTACTGCATCTATCTGGAGTCCAGATTCTGGACAAAGAAGTGTTTCATTATGGTAATTATCCAGATAGTTCAGACAAATCTTTTATGAGACAGGGAGAGTGTAAGGTTGGCATGGTTTCCTGCTTGGATTATTTAGATGATCTGTCTTTGTTGATAAAATTATTTGAAGAAATTGTGCAAGCCTACACTTGACTTCTTTTAGAAAATCATCTTTGGATGGGCCTCTACTCTACTTGGGTCAACCCGGTTATGAAATTTCAAACAGAATATCATTAGCGAAGAATATTTCAAATCCATCTGGAAATTAGTGATTCAAAGGGAAAAATCAGATGATCTGATTTAAGTAGCCCCTGAATCATTAAATTGTCCCCTTGACTACATTCAAGAATTTGTTTCTGCTAATTAGCAACTTTTTCTTCAGAGATATTGGATATATTTCTGCTCCCTATCAGGTTAAGAAAACCTTTGATGTTTATTTTGAAGAACTCACTTGACATAAGTTAATATCTAAATTAACTAAGATTGCATTATCTGGTTTTTAAATTTCCTGTCATAATGGACTTCTCAAATCATTTAAGATTCTCCCATCCTATCAAAAATTCCACACATTTTTCACCTGCAAAACAAACATAGAACATTTTCTGAGACATGCCTAAAATATTAAGTTCTACTTGTTTAAAAAGTAACAACTTATCAAATTGGTCAATAAGAGAGTGTGTGAAATAATCTTAAGAAAATACACTTTTTTTTTTTTTTGCAGAAAATTGAACTCTATAAATGTCATTTGAGAATGCACAGGCAATAAGTTTGAGAAATTCCTTATGTATATGTCCTTTCCAAGTTATACACATACTTAATTAAAATCCTATAATGACACATCATGCACAATCCATTTTCATATTATAACATCAGTCACATTTTATAATTTCTTTTGTTTCTGAAACCTAAAACTTCCTTATATTAACACTGCAAATTCAAGACAATCCCTATAATGATGTAAGACATTCATGAAAAGAGGCCTGTTTGAGTTTTAAACAAATAAAGAGGAAGTCTGGCAACTTACAGAATAAGCCAGCTTAGGTTTTAAGATAGCATGTGCTGCTTATAGAGGAATGATGCTAGGAAATGAATAAAGTGAGAACAAAGATGCATGTTATGTATGCATGACTTTTTTTTCCCACAAGGTGGTGATTAAACTAAACAGAATTCTGCATAATGGACACATAAAATATCAATAAGTGCCAAGCACAGATAACCCCTATTAAAAATAAAGCAAATGAACATAGCCATAGATGACATTTTAATTACCAAAGAACTTCAAAAGCATCCAAGGAAAGTATTGGGTGTGTGTGTGTTGGGGTGGGGGGACGTTAATGTTGAAGTCTACAGAATAAATGACACATTACAATCTCATTTTCATGGAAACAATAACCACCCAAACACAAAACCAATGACCAAAAACCATTCACCATCTAACCTATTCCTGTGCAACTCAGTCTACAGAAGTAGCTTGTTTAAAGACAATTCTAAAAGATCAAGTTTTAAGAAGCCAGATATATAGTGCTTACATTGAATTCCCAACAACTTTCTGCACACATCAAGACAGAGTCCTTAACTTCATCTATTTTACTATTATATATACATGTCCATGTTGTAACCCATGGACAAGTTAACATGAATACTCTCATTTTCCTCCTTCAACACACACACACACAAATCCATTTCATTTTGGATATACTCAGAAGTTCTTGCAAGAAACTCCCTGTAGAACTGACTTCTCACATCTTGCATCAGAACAGAAAAGCACAGTTACCTTCTCATGTACTCGAGATTTTCTTTCTCCATCAAATTCATATCTAGGACATTTGGCACATGTCTGAGACAATGACAGGCTCATTCTACTTTATGAGATTATTTAACATATGACTTGAAAGAGTTTATGTACGTACCTATTCTTTCTGGGCAAGGAGAAAGCATACTTAAAAAGATAAGCTTTAACAACAGTAACACTTTCAAACTGACTTTGGAATTCTTGGCAGTTACACACCACTCATTGCTATCCAAAGCATACACCACACACACACACACAGACACACATACAAACAGACACACACACACATACACACAGGACAGTTCTCTCTCTCTGCCAAGCACAGACTTGGGAGATAGGCATAAACTGGAAGGAAGCAAAGGAAAAGTCAGTCTCCCTCCACCTGCTGCCTAAAGTGGGGGTGCTTTGGGCTGACTGGCAGACAGAAGCCTGGGACACAGCCTCAGCAGTAGTCTGCCAATATCCTTAAGAAAAATAAACAAACACATACCAACTTGCCCCCAGCCCCCACCCCAAGAACTCACATGGCAGGGCTCAAAACAACAACAGCCCAATTCCCATTAGCCCAGACAATCCTATTAACCAGGACAACCATACATTCATAAACCTCTCCAACCCTCGAGCAAGCATTGTGGTCTGGAGCTGTACAGACACACATAGACACAGAGGAAATTTGCACCTGTCTTTCTTGACACAACACACCTGTCAGGCCCTGCCCATGCGCACTCTGCTAATAGATTTCTGCCTACCTAGTTTAGGAAAGGAAATGAGTTCTTTTTTTCTTTCTTTCTTTCTTTTTTTTTTCTTTTTAAATAAGGGAGGGCATGAGTGGAAAAGAGAACAGGAGAAGGGACTCTTCTAGCCTTGACTTTGCGAGGAGGCCACCCTGTGCTTGCTCTGTTTTTATAAGCTCAAGGAGACAGCACAGACCTTCTCGGAAAAATAAAAACAAGCAGGTGAGTTTCCAGCCTTCCCCCAGGCAGAGTAGCCTTCTGGGTTGCCAAGAACAGCAGTTTCACACTCCAACCTGCCTCCTTGGGCTATTTAAGACTAAGCACCACCCCTACTTCTAGTTCTGCTCTCTGTCTGCCTGGAGGGCTCTCAATTTCCCAAGAAGCTGGGAAGGGGCCAGAGACCTGGGAGTCTGTGGAAAGCTACTTACTCCTCCTTTACCACCCCCACCCCCCATCACTCCACCAACCTTCGGCTTTAGCAGGAGGAGTAACGGGCTGGCACACCAGAACCAACAACTTGCTAAACTGGACTTTGGGTGATGTCTCCCCCCCCCCGCCCCCTGCGTCCCCCTCCTGGTCTGCTCAGGCAAGATAGCAGCTCTTCCCCCCTCTTCCCGCCCTCCTCACTAGTCTTCCCAGTAACAATTACTCTCACCTCTCCTGTCCTCCCTCCCCAGTCCTTCTAACTGGGGCAAAACGGTAGGTACCACCCAGATGAGACCAGACCGAAGCTGCCCAACACCATAGTCTGCCAGCGATGGCTGGAAGATTCATCGCCTCCCATTTCTGCTGCTCAAGAACCCCCTACCCCTACCCGGACCGCGATCCTCCGGTCCTCCTCGCGCTGGTGCCCCAATCTCACCGCCACGCGACCCCCCGAGTCTCCCGGTGCCGCCTTACCCTACTCAACTTGACCCAGCCCTGGGTCCAGGAGCTCGGGAGAGGGGCGCCGCGCGCGTTTCCCAGGACCCATCACCGCACCGCTCCAAGCCCGATTTCCACAATTCGGCTTCGACAGCGTTTTGAGAGGAAAGTAACAGAGCGCCCCCCAACCTCCCTCTCTCCTCCTCCCAGCTCCCGGTCCTCTGCTGGGGTTAAAAAGGAGAAGTGAAAGGTATGCAAATGACAAGCAAATTGGAAGAGCCGGGAAGAAAGGCAGCTATAATAAACAAGACAAAGAGAAAGGACTAGGGGACCGGCCCCGGAGTTTTAGCCGGGGGAGATCAGAAGAATGGGGTTTGGCGAAAAGCGGGGATCTGCACGAACAAAAAAGCGACCCGGTCCCCCTCGCGGTCCTCTCTCCTGAGAAGAGAGAGCAGGAGAAAGAAGGAAAGGGAGCAAACGCCTCCTCACACCCCAGAAACAGTACACAAAAGGTGACAAGATCAGCGACAAGTCCAGCAACATCAGCCTCCCCCCCATCGCCACCACCACCCCCAGTCACCAGCAGGAAAGAGAAAGAAATAAAAGCCAAGCGGATCACTTACTCTCAGGAACTGGGAGGAGCGCAGCGCTGAGTTCACGGAGGCTCCCGCTTAGAAACTGTTTAGAGGCTATTTTATTATGATTCATTTAAATAACACCATTTTCTCCTGGGGGGAAAAATGTTTACACGGGTCTGAGTAATGGGAGGCTCTTTTCTTTCCTTCTCATTCAAGAACAAGCCAGTGCAAGTGATTCTGGAAAAGGGGAGGGACTCACGAGGGGAAGAAGAGGATACTTACGCGGTGCAGGGAGCAGTGGGACCGAGCCTCTCTCTCTCTATCCCTCTCTCTCTCTCTCTCTCTCTTTTTTTTTCCCCGGCAGAGAGAGGAAAACACGCGCGCGCACACACGGTGATATCTTGCGGGTGATGAATATGATAATTGGACAAGAGACGGTGAGTCTGTGCGACAGCGATCGAGCGAGCGGGGCGAGTGGGAGAGGGAGAGGGGAGAGAGAGGCGGGCAGGGAGGGGAGACAAGAGAAGAGGAGCAGGGGAGAGGCGAGGAGAGGGAAGAAGAGGAGAAGAAAAGAAGAGGAGCGAAGGGAAGAGGAGAGAGCAGGAGAGGAGGAGAGAGAAGAGCGGAGGAGAGGAGAGAGCAGCAGAGGAGGAGAGAGGAGAAGGGTAAAGAAGAGAAGAGGAGCGAAGCGGAGAGGGAGCAGGCGGACCCGGCGAGAGCTCTTTTGCGCCGCTCTGCTTTCCCCGGCTGCAATGGTGTATTATTTCAGAGCGCTCCCTCAGCTGAGGGCTCCGCTCCACAACAAGATTTACTTTAAGACACAGCTGAAGGAAACAGGAAGACTGCACGTCACAGTCTATCTGACGTACCCGGCCCCAGCACCCAATCGCGAGGCGCCTTCGGATTCAAGGGGGGATAGCAAGGCAAGAGAACTTGGGAGGAAAAAAAAATATAAAAGGGGTGGGGGTGAGGGGCTGGGAAGAGAGGAGGGGAGAGGGGCCCTGAGCTCCCCCTCCCCGGCCTCCATCCCCGGCCCCCACCCCCACCCCCGCCCTGCCACTGCTTCGGGACGACTGGATCGCCGCGCCTGGGCCGGAGCGAGCCATCTGCGGGCTCTATGCAAAGCGGGAGACGGCGCGAGCGGCGCCCGGCTTACACTCGCTCTTCCAGGACGCAGGTCCTTTTTTTTTTTTTTTCTTTTTCTTTTTCTTTTTTCATTTCCCAGATACAGCTGATCGAGTTCGCCGAGTGGCCGAGCGAGTGAGCGCTCCTCCGACTTGGGTGGAGGAAGGCACGGAAAAGTATACGGGAGAAAAAGTGGGGGTTTTAGGGGTGGGGGTGGCATAGGAGGAGGGAGTGGGGGGGAGATCTGCAAATCATTCCACTTCTTAAACGATCATAGGTGGTGTCAAGGATACGTGTCACCCTTGGTTCCTTTTAAAGGGGAGGTGGACAATAAAATACAGGTAGGTTTGGTATTAAAATAATAGGTGCCAGAGGTTTCACATCGGGTCCGCTGCATCTGTTATTAGACGAAAATCAACATTGGCTGAGTCCCAGTTAAGCTCCAGTCCAAATTATTAGGAAGAGAAATATTTACCCTTGGTTACCTCTGACATTATTTGGATTGTAGGTAAAGCAGCCTTTAAAAATATGTATGTTGCAAACATCTGGCGAATACCCTTCACTAATTCACTCACCCCACAAAGACCAAAGAAAGCTGTTCAATACAGGATTTACACAGTTTTGACGCCTGGGCAACAAACTTTAAAGTTTATTAGGCAAGAAATTTCAAACGCTTTAATCTCGGGCTCTAACATAAAGCCCTAGGAAATTTACTTCGGTTTGACATTTCTTGCTTGAAAAATAACCAGCAAAATTTATTTAGATAATGTGGCTCTTAAAGATCTCCTTAGGCTTTGCAAGTTACAAATGCAAGCGAGCCTCCGGTCGCAGCTAGAACGTCCCTTTCACCGGGCACAGTAAACGGCTTTTAATAAAGCAGCCGCGTTTATGACCTAAAGATCCTATAAAAGCTGGGACTTGCAAGAGCTGCGAAGCAGAAACATTCATACACAGTCTATTAGACACTCATTTTTGTAGGTAGGAGGAGGACAAGTAGTTTTCGTGTGTCCCTCAAATTTAATTAGATCAAAGGTTGAATCATGCTGTGTCGTGACAACAGGGTATTTATGAGGTGTGTTACAAGTACACTGGCCAAACACTACCAATGTCTTCTGCGGCACACACATACACACACACACACACACACACATACTCCTTTCTAGGAAATTTAAAATTTCAGCCTCAAATTCACCAAACCGTAAAGAGGATATTAAGCCCTCCCTTTGAATAAGAATAGCGATGTTAGTATATCCGAGTCTATCCCGGCAGGAAACTTTTGGCACGAATTTCAAACAGTGAAAAGAAGAGAGAAAAAAAAAAAAAAAAAAATCAGGTCGGCCAGGTTAGGTGTCCGCGATAAGAAAAGAGATTGCGGGAGCATCCCCAGCAGCCTTCCTTCCCCTTTTGCCGCCCCACAGACTCCCCCCACGCGGCTATCAGGGAAACAACACAGAGAAGCGCATACACACCACTCACACCTCCAACTATTGACTGTTGTATCAAGTGTTCTAACCGGGATGTGACAGTTTAGTCTGGGAGCAGAAATAACCAACATGCCCATTAGACACAGGACGGAATAATGCTTCTATTGGTTGGGTCCCTTCGAGGTAAGCGGGTGTATTGAGCGGGGAAATTTGGGGTCTGAAAATGGATCAAAGCTACTTCCTTTCTTATTTTTCGTCCTACTGGTTTTCTTTAAGAATCTTGGTTTGTACATATAAGCTAGCGCCAGCCCACAAATAAACTGGTAGGAGTAAGGGCTATATACCTTTCCACACCTTAAAACCATCTGCTCAGTTTGACATTTAAAAGGGCGGAGAGCAGAGGAGGAGGAGGGGGGAGGAGGGGGAAGAAAGGAGGCAGGGACAGAGAAAAAGATTCAAACGCAAAAGAAATGGCTTGTACTTTAGCCCACAAGTTTGTGTCAATTGCACATAGCGCTTGAATGCACGTTTTGCACACACCACGCCCGGGAACTGGCGGCGGGAAAAGTTCCCTGAGAACCCCAGTAAGTCCTGTGTCACGCCGTGGGGAAAGGCAGGCCTGAGTCGAAGTCGGGGTAACCCGCTTGGCGAACAAGGAAGCTTTCCCACCCCCAGCCTCGGCGGCGGAGGCTCCCGGCTGGTGACGCTCTGCCGCGGCGGTTCGCAGCCCGCATTAGGGCGCAGGAGCGGCGAGTTGAAATAGGAGCGCGCGCGACTCTAGGCGAGGGAGATCGGTTCGCAGCCCAGCTCCGTGAGCTGCCTCCGCGCAGCCCTGTCCCCTGTCCTGTCCTCTACTTTCGGGGAGGCGTACAGGCCACACTCCTGACAACCTCTCTTGCTAGAGCTGCGGCACTCTCCTGGGTCTCGGGCTGCCCTGAAGCAAGACTTGAGGCCCGAGCCCCCTATCTCGGGCAACTCCCGCTTTGTTTTCTGATAGGGGAGAAGCCTGGAGACGAGAAGTCGCCTAGATATTGGCTCCATCTCTGAAACCAGCCGCCAAGCCTAGGCTTAAGACAACTCCTCCCTTCGCCCCATTTCCAACACAACCCCAGTAACTTAAAAGTTAACGCAAGTTCTGACCGGTCTTGTAACAAACCCTATCCGTGCAGGTTGCATTTACTTGTTTATCTGAAGGGTGATCTGTGTGTTCTTAGACAAACTCGCAGTTATCACTCGTGCATCTGGTTCTGTGTTGAATACACTTCGCCTTGACATTTCCTCGGTGTATGCTCACGCCTCCTATTCTTTCTTAAAGCCGTTAGGTGGGGGCAGGAGGGAAGACAGTGTGTATAAGTAATTTAAAACCTTACAAACAGCAGTTATCAGATCCTAAACAAACCAATTCTGGGAATTTCAACCAGATTCAGTTGAGGGGCAAACGTGGACGTGGATTTTGGAGAAGGATGCCTCAGGACTTCCCGGTCACCCACCCACCCACCACCACCACCACCAGCACCACCACCACTATCCGAACCCTGAAGAAGGGAAGAGAGGAAAACCAACCCCAGGGTGCAGGCCTGCCTGCTGCAAGCTTTCCAGAGGCAAAACTGACTGACGGCCTCTCTCTCACTCTCATCTCCTGTGCCCAGTGTGACGCCAAGCCCAACCTGGATTTGTTCTGAATGGGGGGGAAGTGAAATACCACAAGATCAGTAGCAAGTAGCAGCTGCAGCGTTTTCTCTCCTGGGAACCCCACTGCTTAGAAGCCTCCCGAGTGATGTTTGTTTAACCAACAGCTTTCAAAGTAAACAGAAGCCAATCACTCCAAAGAAGTTGAAATATAACCCTTACAAGAATTTTGTTCCTGGGGTGCTGGCAGAAGGAAAGTAAATTTTTAAAATGAGAAAGAACCCACTCCCAAATAAAGAGTCTGCCACATTGCTTTAAGGAGTGCAGACTTGTCATGAAAATATAAATTCATCGAAAGGGCTCATTACAATAAGTTGGCCTCGAAGAAAATCACTCTTCGCCCACAAAGACACACCCGCGGGGATGAGGGGGTTGTCAGTGATTGAAGGGACACACTACTACTTGATTTTATGAAAGTGGGCGAAAACAATCAAAGGGAAGTACATTCCCTGCCCTGGAGTAGAAAAGTGTAGGCTGGGAGCTCTTCGCCGCCAACCCTGGCTTTGCCTCAGGCACCGAACTTTCCAATACCAAGATATTAACAGATGGTGGTGAGCACATGGAGGGCTGCTACTTACATAATCCAGCCACTCCGCCCGGCTGCCCAGAGCCCGGCGAGGAACCCGCCAGGCCGCGCGCGCGCCTTCCGAGGGGTGCTCCCTGACATAACTCGCCTTTCCCCAACCCCACCCAGCTTTTGAGGGTTAGCATTTGGAGAGGCCGTGATTGGAAAAAACCAAAACCAAAACAAAAACACCCAAAACATGGATTTGGCTGTGCTTTGTCTTCTTCAGTCCATAGTAGTGAAGAAGCTGGAGACCCAAACGCCGAGAGAAACGGAGGGGATGCCTTCGGGGAGAAAGGGGTGCTCTCCCCACGTATCTGGGGGTGCCCGCGAGTGGAATTCACACAATTTACAACACTCGTGTCCACCATCTTTGGTTCGAATCAGCATATCTTTTGCTGTCGCTTAAGTACAAAGGCAGCCTCGGGCCGCAGCCCAAGGGGAGTGGGGTGGGGTGAGAGTGTGAGTGTGAAGGGGACGCCTTTGCACGCGGGGGCGCAGTGGGCAAATTTACGCAAAGCCTCTGGGCACCGCTACACTTCCGAGCTGTGGCAGGGTTTTAAGCGCTCGATTCCGCTCGCGGGGAGTCCCTTTCGGATGTGTGGCCGCCTGCTGCCTTCACACCTTCAGCCGCCTCCCAAGAGGCCCTGTCCCTCCTGGTGTGTCTGTGTACCTCCTCCAGTGTGCCAGGGCACGTGTGATTCCCGAGCCTCCTCCCTGACTGCGACTCTGGGCCGCCGAAACCTGCGAAGAATACGCCTGCGTGTGTTGGAAAAGTTTCGGGTTGGGCGGGAAGGTTGGGAATCTCCTCTCCAGGCACTCGGCGGGAGCGGGGCTTCCTCGCCCGCGGCTTCCTCCCTGTGCCTTCCTCCCTCCCCGACCCGCCCTTCCTAGCCTCAGCCCCGCGCTAGGTGTCGCGGCCTCTCCGACCCGAGAGAGCGAGCGCGAGATGCTGTGGCTGCCGCGGCGCCGCGCTTCGCAGAGGGCGCGCCCCTCCTGCCTGCGCGGCCAAGTGGGGCTCCAGGCCGCCCTGCCAGTCCCTCCTCGTCCCGGCCCCGCGGCACTTGCCTCTTCCCGGGCCACCGCAGGGGCTGCAG